AAAAAGATGTACTTCACAGATCAATTCATAATTTGATCCATTTCTGTCAGTAATTACTAATATGATGAAGGAACTCGCTAATGAAATACTGAATTAACATTTCCTGTACGACACAGTGATCAATAATATAGCGTCACATCCCAGGTGCTTTTTCTTATCATTTTAAAAACAGATGAAGGCGTTTCTAAACACCACTTCTCTTTAGAAAACATGAATTATTACTATTTGCACACAATAGCAGACTTATTACCATCCTCCTCCTGAAAAAGGGAACTTTTCATTTAGCCACAGCACAAACTACTGCTGTGCAATGAATGAACTCTGTGACGCCCAGCTTTAAACACATGCCAAGTTCCCACAGCATTACAGAGCAACTGAGAAGTATTATCAACAAGTTCAAAAGCCTGTCACAGGTAGGAAGCAAAAGATTTCCAGGACTCTGGAAGGAAAATTAGTAAGAAGAGTCTCAAGACCACAGAACGACTGCCAGGACATAAGTTAATGATGTAGCCAAGTCTGGAATTGTAGTGCAATCACTGAAACCCTGCACGGGAGCGCACTTTGAGGCTGCAGAGCAAAACGCCACTTCTGCAGAAGAGACACTTCAAGCCAGACTGAAGAATACTAAAGACAACCTGGAGAAGATTATGCATACTGTACCATGTCTTTTGGTCAGATGAGACGATACTATGGTTACAGACAAGCTGCTGATGTTTGGAGAAAGACAGCAGAGGTGTACAACCCAAGAACACCGTCCCCACAGTGAAGCATGTTGGTGGGAGTTTTATGCTGTGGGGATGGAAATCTTATCATTGTGGAGGGAATCACGAAGAAAGACGGATATGTTACGATTTTGAAAGAAAAGTAGTCGGCAGCAAAACTTTACGTCTCTGCTGCTTCTTCTTCCAACAGGACTACGACCCAAAACACACGTTGCTCCTGGTGAAGGATTTCCCCCTGAAGACCAAAGTGAACATTACTGACTGGACTAACGTGAATGCTACTGAAAACCTGGGGCTGAACTGAAATCCATTACATCTGGAGAAGCTTGAGAGATTTGCCAAAGAAGAATTGGCTGGATTTGCTCAGGAGACGTGTGAGAGATAAAACACAACAAACGACTAAAGGCTGTGTTAAAAACTTTCAAGTTTGTCCTCATCCATGTACACACGCACACCAGTGCATTACTGTGTGTACAACCACAGCTTTTATAATAATCCTGAATATTTTCTTAAGACAACAATAATTTGCCCACAGTCTCAAAGAGGTTTTCTTTACTATCAGAAGCTAGAAATGTGTCCTTATTTTATAATGTCCTACAGCTACTGCTTTGTTAATGAACCCAGGAGATGACAGACCCGAGACGATGTAAAGTCAGCACAAGAGGCTTTGGTTGTTATTAATAATGTGACATCTGCCTGTGGTTAAGATGCACGACCACGGCCGCAGGTTTAAAAAAGACGTGGACGTGTTTTTGTTGTTGTTTTTACATAAACAACAATGACCTGTGTCTTAGATTAACACGCGTACCTTCACTGTGGTTTGACCGAGACGTCCCGTCTGGAACCCCTTGATGATGTTTGTGGCCCCCTCGATGGCTTTAGGGATTTCAGCGGGGGAAGGTGGGACAAGTTCAACACGCGCATAGTACCAAAAGTTTGCCAGGCGGGGTTTGGAGTAGGTGACAGCGGCTGAAAGAAAGAGAGAACATTAAATGCTGCTATCGAGTCGCCATCCTAGCTGCAGAGCTTCTGAGATGTTAGCAGGTAGCGTTAGCATCAGCTACGCGGGTTGTGTTTGCTGAGAGCAAACCAAATATACCGATGTACCTGCTTATCCACAACACATGTCAAAACAACAAAAACACAGCATATCAACGTCAAAGGCCTTCTACGTCTGAAAGCGTCAGTTACACCTGCTTCATTCAACTGACGCCCGGGTCACAGTGTCGCTGACAGCGTCGGCCTACGGAAGTCTTCTCACCGAGGAGAAAGCTGCCTACCTCAGCCTCCACTAATGGACCCGTCCGAATAACAGACTAGCTTACCGTTAACCAGGGTGGGTACTTTAGCAACCAACTTCTGCACTGCCTGTGCCATTTTGAGGCGTTTGTGATGTTAACTATTCCCCGTCTCTGCTAGCCGACTGAATGTCACCTCCAATAGAAGGACCCTCGACTGCAGTTGACCACACAACTGCCTGAAGAGAAACCGCCAGGAGTCTTCTTCTTTATATTGTTTATTGGCGGTTGGCAAACAGCAAAATGGTGCATTACCGCCACCAACTGGTGAGGAGTGTGGACTGAAATAAATAAAAAAATCAAATCCTCCCGAACAAATGAGTCTGACTTA